TCATAGAGGCCCACCCAGAGCTGACATCGCCAGCTCCTCACCAGTTAGGGAGGTGGCATGTGCCCCGTATTCCAAATCTAAGATGCACTGACAGTGCCGCCTGCTTGGGTTCCCCATGCTTCTCAGAAGAGTCATCAGGCCCAACATGTGTATGTTATTATCAGGCTATGGAAAACTTGTTTGGGAACCAGGTGTGGTGTTATCTCACTTGACCTGGGTGTGGATTTGTCTCCTTGGTAGTGGTGAGAAACAAAGTTGGGAAGGGCCAGCACCGTGGGGCCCAAACCCTTTGATTCAAAGCCTGACTGTCCTGTGGCTAGCAAATGGCCTCAGGCAGACATCCTCCTGCAGTTTTGGCCACTCATACTGTCTGCTGCCACCAGGATTTGATCACAGCAGCTTTGTACCTCCTCTTCCAGAAGTGGCCCACCAGGATCCTGCATATCCCATCAGTGAGCCAGAGAGACTCAGCAGGTGAGCTCCCCACTAATAGAAATCCACTGCCCTGGCTACAGTGAATGAATTGTCAACCCCTGCCAAGGTTTAGTTCTTGATCATAAACAAATAGCTAGGATTTCTTGGAGCGAGAAGCCTGGGAGATTCTGTTCTGCTTCAACAGTACACAGTCTGCCATTGCTGCCTTCTAAACAGATTGAAGGGTCTGAGCAAAACCCTAGTGAATCAGTAGCCTCTCTGCTTAGGACAAATCAGAGTCAATTTTTGACCTCAGCTGGCACCGTACCATTGCTAACCTCCACCAGCAGTGTGGAATAAGAGCTCAGAGCAAGAAGCAGCCATTTTCTGTCTGCTTCTTTGCTTTCCTGTCCGTAAATACATGTCTTTACATTACTTTAAAGGCTGCTTAAGCCTAGGGTGTCAGTGAACTCCATTTCTTCTAAGATTTTTTTTACCTACAGTATCAATCGCTGTGTAACTGACGCTGGCCTGTGCCCCAGACTCCTGAGGGCTGGCATGACGAATGTGCGTCGCTGTGCCTGTCGTCCATCCTGACTTCTGAAGAGGAGTGTAGACTCTTAGTCACCTGATTCCGGCTCTGAAGGCCTTTGAGCCCCTTTGGGACCCCATAGATGGCCATGCAAATTCTGCCTGGTGACATGTGATGCCACTATGTGCAAGAAGACACTTTCCCTCCCCAACAGGAAAGCCAGTTGGGTCCATGCCAGTGCTCCTGATCTATACAACACGCTCCTCTGAGTCTCCTTCAACAGATTTCAGCTTGATAGACTCACTCCCATTTGGTGATACAAATGGTTTTTTAGGTTTGCCCTTTTGTTTGTTCATGTGTTGGTGTGTTCATATGTGTGGGGGTTCATGTGGTGGGGGTGCGTGTAAAGGCCAGAAGTTGATGTTGGTTGTCTTCTTCACGTGTTTCCAAGTTTACCAAGGCAGGGCCTCCTACCGAACCCAAAGCCTCCCACCCCATCCCTGCTGTCTGTTTTCTAGGATTACAGGTTCTTCACTTTACCTAAGGGGCTTTTATGTGAGGGATGGGGATCTAAACTCTGTTCCTCAGCATTACAAAGCAAGCGATTATCCACTGGGCAGTCTCCTCAGAAAAGCCTAAGGTCGGTGTCAGTTGTTTCTGTGGTCTTTGTTGAGGTGACAACAGAAATAACATATCACAATGGCCATCCAGCCGTCTGCTCATGCTCAGTGATTCACACCTGCCTCCCCTGCCCCCATAATATCCTCATGTCTGGCCAGCATCTTCTCTTTGAGGTGTGTGTGTGTTTAAGTTTGCAATGAAACTGGAGGTTAAGGAAGTTGCCTTGAATTTTGGCAATAGGGGATTAAAACAGTCTTGAAAATAATCAGCCCAAGATGGCCTAGACTATGATCTTCCTCTCCCTCTGAAGGGATAAGGAGGCCCCGTAGAGAGGCCAGAGCAACACAGCAAGGGACCACTCCCTGTCAGCGCCTAGGTTCCAAGGCAGCATCAATGACCAGTAGGCAGCTTGGCCACATGCACTCAACAGCAAGGGGTGTCTCTAGGGGCGGGGCTGCGATGACTCCTGTACTTCCAGGTGATTCTGCCCCTCACTGAAAAAACGTCGGAAAGGCCAAGAGGACTATTAAGGACTTCTTTCTTCAGAAAGTCCTGAGAATCAGCCTGTTCTCAAGCCTTCCTTAGGGAAGGACCTCACCATTGAGCACAAAAGCCCTATTGCTTTTGTAAGTGAGATGTGCCAATCATCACAGTTTCTATGGCAATGAACTCCCTGTTTCATGCATGTCCTTGACTAGAGAAAGAGGATCTTAGTTATTCTTATTACTTTGACCAAATACTTGACAAGAAGTAATTTAACAGAGGAAGGTGTGTTTCCTGGCTCAGAGCTCAGGGTGCTCTTCCCTTCATGATGGGGAAGACATGGCAGCAGCTGGCGAAGGCTCTACAGCAGTAGTGGGAGACTCGATGGTCACATTGTATCAGCACTCAAGAAACAGAGTGAGCAGGAAGTGAGGCCCAGCCATAAAACCTCAGAGCCACCCTCAGTGGCCTCCTTCCTCCAGCAAGACTGCTTCCTAACGGTTCCACGGCCTTCCCAGACAGCACCATCGGCCCAGGTGTCGGAGACATGTCACATTCCCACCACAACAGCAAGTCAGTGCCTGTGCAGGCTCAATTGTTCCAAATAATAGTCAGATTTTTTGTTTGTTTTTGTTTTTCAAAATGGAATTTCTCTGTGTAGCTGTCCTTGAACTTACTCTGTAAACCAGGTTGGCCTTGAACCACAGAGACAGATCCACCTGTCTCTGCCTCCTGAGTGCTGAGATTAAAGGCATGAGCTACCATTGTTCAGTAATAATCAGATTTTTTTTTAACACTGTGCCTCCTTTGATTTTTAGACTGGATAATAAACAAAATAAAAATTTAACCTGACTTCTTATGATCTGAAGTCAGGACCCCTGTTTCTCCTTGTTCACCAGTACCCCAAGTGAATCTGGTAAATGTACATGCTTGGTGAGGAAATAATAACTAAGCAAAGAAACTGGCAACTGATTCCACATTCTGGGGTGGCAAAAGCTCATCTCCCTCTTCCTAAGTGAAAACATAAGCAGAAGCAGGCTCAAATTCACTGTATAGCTGAGGCTGGCTTTGAATTTCTGAGCCTCCTCCCTCTGCCTACAAAGTGTTGGGATTACATGTGTGTATCACCAAACCCAGGTTATTATTTATTGTTGTTGTTTTAAAATACTGTATTGTAAGTGTGTATGTGCTCATTGTGTGAGCATTTTAGAATGGATTAATAAATGCACAGGAAATCCTTAAGAGTAGTTAATTGAGTGAGATCATTCAGATACTTTAATTTCTGGAAAGAAAAAGTTAAAAAAAAACAGGTAGCTCACACACTTAGAATTGGTTTTTGAATATAAGGAAAAAAGAAGAATGTGTCTCGGTTTGGTTGGTTCAGGTAGGTTCTTCATCTTCCCATTCATCCATTTCCATCATGCCCCAAGGGCTCAATAACTGCATGTGTCACACATATACATGACCGTTTAGTCCAAAGGGCGTTTGGTGTTGTAATAGCGAAGGAAATGCCCCCACTTAGTCTTCAATCCCATTGACTGCGAGTATGCCATCTGCAGAGGAAATGAGATCACTTTGATTGGCGTGGATCAGTCCAGTCTGTCTTTGGACTGGAATGCGGCCCTGTGTAGATCATAGAAGTTGGTGTACCCCCAGAACATTCATGTTTCCTGCCTGCCTTTATGGAAGAGAAGACTTTAGTGAACTAATAGACAATGTCTAATGTACAAACATTGACTTTTTACTTTGTATCCTTCTTGCTTCAGTCATGGGTCAAAATTCTAATTACTGTTTCAAATACATGGCTATGCCCTGGATATTGTTTCTTGGGCTGCTGTTTCACCACAGCCTAGTCCAGCAGTTCGAGAACTTGGTGGATAGTGGCGGCCGTGGTTCCTTCTTTGCATCTGACTCACCGTGTCGGTAGAGTAGCTCCCTCTGAGCCTGCGTCAGCCTCATCTCTTCATCTAACAATCGCCCCACTGCCCTTCTCACAGGAATATCGGTGAGCTCCTCACCATGTTAGTAAAAGAACCATGGATAAAATAAGACCTCTGCCAGCTGCCAGTCAGGAGCATGTTTTCAATGCCCAGTATTAGAAAATCCCAAGGAAAAGAAATTTTATAACTAAGTTAAAGTATACCGAGTGGGCCCTACTACCCTGATAGTGCAGCTTTGTTTTCACAGTGAGGCCCTCTTTACTCTTTACACTAGGTCTAGGTGTGGTCCTTCTCACATAATCCCCACACTTAAAGGAGATAGACACAGGAGACAGAGAATTTGAGGCCAGCCCAGGATATGAAGAGTTCCAGGCCTCTCCGACACAGCAAAACCCGGCCTCTGAAACAAAACAAAACACCACTGGGTTTTGTTTTGTGCAAACTGGGCGGGGAAACATGGGCGGTGTAAACGGAGGAACTTATTCTTTGCTGCTTGCAGGGTCTCTCGCCCTTCAAACAGAGCTCCACCAAGGCTTCACCCATTTCAAGAGCTCCTTTTCCCCGTGCTTGACATTCAAACCCCCAATTTCCCTGAGCTGTGATCCCAGCTATTGGGGGAACAGACTAAAATACTTAAAATACATAACTCTCAATAGCTCCAAGGCTATTTGCACTTAAAAAGAAAGTCCTTATTAATCTATTATTAGTAAAATGTGTTTAAAATGATGGGCCTTCTATTGGCCCACTGGGTCCCTTGGTTCAACTGCACTCTGTTTCCCAATCACCTTACTGAGCACAGAAACCATGAACTGACACCCTGAAACCATGAGCTGAAAGGAAGCCTTCTTCCCTGATGGTATTTGTCTTAAATACATTGTCAATTTGACAGAAATTGACTAATACAGCAACCTTACCTTGAGTTTATTTTTGAAAAGAGAAGTGAGCCTCACTGTTGACGTGCTCTCCACACTGAGTGAGTTCTGCCTTCACTGACTCCCTTCCCTCCACAGGTCTGCAGACTTGAGCGCCAGTTGTCTACCCAGCGATACCAAGGAGCCCTCTTTGCCAATCAGCCGAAGATGTTCATTGCACCAGCCAGCAGCCCCCCAAGAGCCAAGCTGTGCGAACTGGTGCTCCTGTGTGGTGGCCAAGTCAGCCCAACCCCTCAGCTGGCCAGCCTCATCATTGGTCCCTACCATGGCAAGAAGGAAGCAAGGATCCAGTACCTGTCGGAGAAATGGGTCTTAGGTAGGATCCCAGGTGGTGGGACACAAGCAGGAGGGACAGGGGAGGGTCCTGCTGGTCACATAGCCATCTAGAGCTTAAAGAGACTCCCGCTTTGTGGTCCAGGTAGTAAGAACAGGCATTGAGAGACATAGACGGTGCCCATGTGGTTTGGGCCTGAGAGTACCAGCTCAGCCTCCAGCTCAGCCTCCAGTCCTACTAGTCATAGACACACCTGCCCCTTACTGCCAGCTGAAGGACAGTTCACAAGGGGAGGAGATTGCACTGGGCCTCACCCTTTCAGTACATGTAGGAAACCTTCTCACTCAGAGTTCCCTCATCCTCAACCTGTGAACACGGGGTGACCACGGTAGGTACCTGTACTAGGTGCTGCCTGAGGTTCCCAGGGAGGAAAAGTTAATAAACTAGACCCCTGGCCACTGGAGGCTATCTACATGTATGATAACGACAGACAGACTTCACCAGTTATTCCACTTAGGAGGGTTGCAGAACTCTCAAAAGGAGAAAGGCTGTGCAACCAGGAGTGAGCTTTCCCAGGGGTGTCGTCCTGCCTCCTTCTTCTCCCCTTCTGTCCTTCTTCCCTCCTTTTATGCTGGGCTCACCATCCTACAAGGACTCATCCCAGACAGAAATGAACTCCAGACTCAGCTTTGAGAATAAATTTAAATCTTCATCCCTGAGATTCTGACAAATGTATTGGTTTGCCAAGACCAAGTCCTGCAGACCTGAAACAGTCATTTTCTCACCATCATGGGACCTGGAAGGACTAGGCCAAGGTAGGATCAGAGAGATTCCCTATGACTTTCCCCTAAACTTGCAAGTGACATCCCTTCCCTTTGTGACTTGCTTCTCTGAGGACACACACCATCCTTAAAGACACTGGTGAGACTGGTTCAATCCCACCTGGGACCTAGTTTTAATGTAATATCCTCCCTGGATTCTGTCTCCAAGTACATCTACATTCTAAGGTGCTGGGGGTGGGACTCGAACATAGGAAGACTCAGCTCCACCCTATCAATGTATTACCCCAGATCCTTACCTGGTTCCTTCAGAGCTACCTCGTGTGTGTGTGTTTGTGTGTGTTTGTGTGTGTGTGTGTGTGTGTGTGTGTGTGTGTCTTCTCATCCCCTCCTCTCTCCTCTACTCTGTCCTCCTGCTCCCCTCCATCCCTCCTAGTTATCTCCCTTCCTGTCTTTCCCTTTCCCTTTTCTTCCCTTTCTCTCCTGAGGCTGAAGTCTTTGCTGGGTCCTCCAAAACCATCTCCCACTGTATTTATCCATCTCTCTGCTTCTCCCTCTCCTCCTTCCTGCTTCCCCTCCTCCTGGTTTTCTTATTCTTCCCTTTTTCCCTCCTTCCCCATCTCACCCTCATCTCTAAATCCCAAGGTTCTGGCTTCTCTCACTCTGTTGTTGTTGTTGTCGTCCTTGAATAGATAAATAAATAACCTTGTTTTCCAAAGTTACATTCACACAAACACACATACATTTTATGAATATCTCTTAAATGATTGATGAGTGTTCCTGTATATTTTTGAATAAGGCAATCAAGAGTACTTTTTACTATCTGCTATAGAGCAATTTGTCTTTTGCTTAGAAACTATTTAAAAAAAAAAAAAAGCCACTACCATTTAGCTCCGGTCCCAAAGCCAAGCCACTGTTTACACTTCTGAGTACCAAGAATAGAACCTTCAGACATCACATGTTCTGAAGCCGGCTTCTCGTTTGGTTTCTTGGAAAAGTGCATCAAATTAACAGCCACTACAGACCAGAACTGGGCCTTGAAAACACGCCTGGGCATGACTGGTGTCCAGTCTGAAACGACAGCTCATGGTTCTAGAGTTCGGGAACTGTGTGCTGCTCAGGGCCCCAGACCGAGCCTGTAGTCTTGTTATTTCCAGGCTGGGTGACTGGCGGCCCTTCCTGTTGCTCCCGCGTCCTGTGCAGTCACTGTCTCAGCCAGGCTATGTTCTTCCGGTTGTTTTGTCTGTTGGCTCTGGCTAGGGTTTTAGGGGATGACTGCCTACCTGCTGCATCCACCCAAGGCTCCGCAACATTCTCTGCATGCCAGGGCTGGCTCCGGGACCCTAGTTTCTGCTCCTTTCCTCCCCCTAATTGACGTCCTGTTGCTGACCTGTCATTGATTACACCAGCTTCTTTGCCCTTGGCAGCATCCGGGTATTGTGTGTGCTTCAGGCCTGCCTATGTAAGATGAGTCCCCATGGCTTGTGGGTACCCCCAAACACACCAAGTCTTACAGCCTGAGCCATATATCTTTCAAACACTAGTTCCCTCAGTTTTTCTTTGTGAATTGAATGATAACCCAACAGATGCCATGGTGTACACATAACAGAGGTGTTGCCTCCACATCTGTCCGTCAAACACAGATGGGCAAACATAGCTGAGTCCTACGCCTGCTGTCCACTCCAGGCACTGCACTGTCTTGATCACTGCTCACCTTGTGTGGTGGCCAAAGGAGACAACACAAGAGCATGTGACATGGTGTGTGCTGTGGTTGGCCTTCCCAGGATTTGTGAGTGACAGTGTCCCTGCGAGCATAGAGCTGTCACCCCAGTGCCATAACAAAGTGACATGTGTCCTTTGAAGGCTCTTACTCACCAAAACTTAGCACTATTATAAACATTTCTCTAGAGAACATTTTATTCTCAGGCTGGTGGATTAGACTCAGTGATTGAATGCTTGCCTACTCTGTACAAGGCCCTGGATGGGGTCATCCTGCGGAGGGAGAGAGAGAAAGAGAAGAGATACTGGATTCTCAAAACAATACCCAGAGGGGCTGGAGATACAGTTTGATGGTAGTGCACTTACCTACCAAGTATGAATGCTCTAAAATAAATGAGTAAATAGAAAAAAATATACAAAGATTAACAAGAACTTTTAAAGCATTGATTTGAAAGGAAAATTATTTTGTGATACATTATGAAAGCAATATTCAGTATTCATCAATTAAGTTTATTCCAACTGGAGTAGACGGTATGAGTTTGGGCCAAGATGAGTCTTCAGAGTAGGTTGGATAAAATGTTTATTTGAAAGTGTTAAAAGGCCGGCAATGGTGGTGCACACCTTTAATCCCAGCACTTGGAAGGCAAAGGCAGTTGGATCTGTGAGCTTGAGGCCAGCCTGGTCTACATAGTGCATTCTAGGACAGCCAGGGCTACACAGAGAAACCCTGTGTTGAAACAAACAGACAAAAAGTGTTAAAAGCTTTTTCTATCCCCTTTTTATTTGAATTTGTTAGTTCTCATCCAAAATGAAAACCCAATGCCTGAGTGTGCTACATTTGCTTGGTTGATAGCTTTATATTTATTCTTATAATTGATGAGCTTTGTGTGACCCTGCTGAGAAGTGCCTCAGAGAAAGTGAGAGATTCTTGTAAGAATTTCTTCTAGCCTTGTCTGGTGAACCGTTAGCATTGAGCATCCTGCCTTCCCAGCCATTGTGTGTTGCTGACATAGGCCATGAACGAGTGCAGAATGTCAGCCTGTGGAATTCAGCAGGAGGCATTTAATCCTCGCCTTACTCATGCTCTCCACAGAGGGTGTCAAATGCCATGCTGCCTTACAAGGAGTCTGTCTTCCCTGTCCACTCCCTAGAGCCTATTTTCCCTGAAACAGCACTATGCTTGGGCCAACATTCTCCATGAATCATTCAACCAGGAGGAGAAATGGGGATTTTTGAGCAAGAACACCCCTGTGAGCACTTAAATATACATGAAAATCAACAAGAGAACAAACATCGAATTCCTGGTAGCAGGAACCAGGCACTACCTGTCCTAATGTCAGTAATATGGGTGTTATTTAAAACTGTTTCCTAATTGTTGGGTTCTCCTCAGCACTCCCATGAGGTATAGTTTCCATTTCATATCTCAAAGATCACAGGGTCTAAGGCCCCTAACTGGTGAGAAAGAGGCACACAGAACTCTGCACCAAGAGCTCTCAAGATGTGTGACTTGGTGCTATGGTCATTCCTGGTCACGCCATCCCCTCCCTTCAATGTTATTAAATAATATGGGTTTGGCCTTTCTCATGAGACTGATTCCAGTCTCTGCCTCCCTTTAATTGTCTGGGCTACATTCAAGAGATAAGACATACATTTATGCTATTGTGGGGAGATAGTGCACTATTCTCCACAGAGCTGCCAGAAAAAGAGAGTTTAGCCTTGACATGACTTCCGCATAGCTTACAAAGAACATTTGACTGTTGCCCATGTAAGAGCTTTCAGGAAAAGGTCCCTGATAGCTTGGGGGCCTTCCCATGCTGTCCTGAGCTATTCATTATGTCCCCCACTGGCTGATCAGCTAAATGCATTAACTGTGGCTTTCTGTGAATCAAGGCTAATCTGGATGACATGTTCCCTGGGGATTCGTAATTAAATGGACACATGAGGGTTGGTCAAGCTCACCTTGTCCCATATCCCAGTTGCATAGATAAGAACTAGTCACAGAAGGCTGAGGGTCCAGAAAAGAAACCAGAGAATGGGAGGCCGGTCTGCCCCACCCTCACCCCCGCTCCTCTCTTCCTATGTGCTTAATTTGTCCTTGCCCAGGAATCCAGACCCAGCAGCCCACCAATCATACTGAGAGAGAGTAACTATCAAAATATACGTGATTAAAAACTAAGTGGTAGAATTTTGTAATTTTAACATCTAAAGCCAATGTGTGTGCCACCACACTGTTGATAAGAGTCTGTAAGTCGGCTGCTGACGCAGGGTCTTAGCTTTGGTTTGGGGGATATATGGAAAGAATAGACTCAGAAAAGGTCCCTAAGCTCTCCTAATGCTCCAGGTGATTGGCCTTGAACTTTCCTGACCAGCCAGGCCGTCCTTGTTCATCTCAAGCCGGTCCTTCCGTCAGCCTCCCACAGCACAGAATACCACTTGCGGACCACAAGGCATCTGTGTCTTCAGCTCTGAGCAGAAACCATATCACCGCAGCAGCATTTTATATCCTCCAGAAGGAACGTGCGCTCGGGGACGTCACTGTGGCCA